GGTATTCAGTTAGGAAAAGAAGTCAAATTGTCCCTGTTTGCAGATCACAGTAACTTTTTAAAGTGTTCACTGACAGAGGTAATGCAGGAGTGGAAAACCAAAAACTGTAAGTTATCACGTATAAGTGGGAGCCAAGCTGTGAGTACACAGAGGCATACAGAGTGATATAATGGACTTTAGACACTCAAAAGGGGGCTGGTAGGAAGGAGGCCAGAGATTAAAAAAACTACACATGGCCAGGCGCAGTGGCTCACGCCTGTAGTCTCAGCACTTTGGGAGGCCGAGGTGTGTGGATCATGAAGTCAGGAGTAAAGACCAGCCTAGCTAACACAGTGAAACGCTGTCTCTACTAAAAATACAAAATTAGCTGGGTGTGGTGGCACACACCTGCAGTCCCAGCTATTGGGAGGCTAAGGCAGGGGAATCCCTTGAACCTGAGAGGTGGAGGTTGCAGTGAGCCGAAATCGCACCATTGCACTCCAGCCTGGGCAACAAGAGCGAAACTCCATCTCAAAAAAGAAAAAATATATATATATACACATTAGGTACAGTGTACACTACTTGGGTGACAGGGGCACTAAAATCTCAGAATCCACCACTTTATAATTCATCCATAACCAAAAACCACTTGTACTCCAAAAGCTATTGAAGCTTAAGTTAAAAATAAAAATAAAAAATAAATGTCCACTGATCGAAAAAGAAGCATTTTTCTCCATTCCTATTCCCTTCTTTACCACCACTGATGATAATCCCACTTGTTCCCATGCTGGAAAAGCATTTAGTACCATCCATGTAGAAGAATCAAATTATTCAAGGCTTAAGATGCATTTCAGAAGACAGTCATGGCAAGTACAATGATTATCAATTCAAATCACAATTTATTTTCCTCCTTATAATTTTTTTTCTTTTCTTTTTTTTTTTTTTTTTTTTTTTGTGAGATGGAGTCTTGCTCTGTCGCCCAGGCTGGAGTGCAGTGACATGATCTTGGCTCACCGCAACTTCTGCCTCCTGGATTCAAGTGATTCTCCCGCCTCAGCGTCCCAAGTAGGTGGGACTACAGGCTCGTGCCACCACACTCGGCTAATTTTTGAAACTTTAGTAGAGACGGGGTTTGACTATGTTGGCCAGGCTGGTCTCGAACTCCTGACCTCGTGATCTGCCCGCTCAGCCTCCCAAAGTGCTGGGATTACAGGCATGGGCCACTGCATCCAGCCTAATGTTTTTCCATTTTAAGAACAGTCTTGACACTTGTGAATATTCCATTCTTTCTTTTTTTCCAGACTGGGTCTCATTCTGCCTCCCAGGCTGGAGTGCAATGGCACGACCTCGGGGCACTGCAACCTCCACCTCCCAGATTCAAGTGATTCTCCTGCCTCAGCCTCCCCAGTAGCTGGGATTACAGGAACATGCCACCACGCCCAGCTAATTTTTCGTATTTTTAGTAGAGACAAGGTTTCACCATATTGACCAGGCTGGTCTCAAACTCCTGACCTCAAGTGATTCACCTGCCTCGGCCTCCCAAAGTGC